GCCACCCTGTTTTCTAAGGAACCTGGGTAAGCAGTGCTATAGGGACAGCTGTTTCTTCAGGCATGTACTAAAGAAGTACAGCAGCAGCAGCAAACTTGACCACTTGCCCAGTGTAAACTGTTACTGCTCTGCTGGCAAGGCTGAGATTACCTAACAGTGCGTGATGTTCTGGAGAGCCCACCTCCTGACTCTCCGATAGACCCCTCAGAATGAGCTGGTGAGAGCTCAACAAATGAAAGCACTGATGAGCATCCACTGACCAGCAAAGAGCAGGTGCAGATGACAGAAAGAGCAGCATGCCATCTAATCAGGGAGCGCTGGGACTGGCTGACTTGCAATCTTAAACCTAAGCCCATTGCCATCAAGTTGATTCTAACTTGGAAACCCTGTATAATCCTTCTAGAAGCAGATAGCCTCGCCTTTCTCCCGGGCCTTGCATACCCAACAGCAACACCAAGACAGGATCCTTATTTGCAGTCTGTCATGCTGGATGGGTTGCGGAGTCTTTTCAGAAATTCACTCTTGATCAAGGCTGGCCACCAAGGGGGGAAGGCTGCTACTAATAGTTGTTGTGCTGGACCTGGGCTTCGAGGACACCAACAGTCACTGGGCGTGCTCTTTTCCCATCCTGCTCAGCCGGTCACTCTCACAGTGTACTCTCAATACTAACTGGCTCCCAGATGAGCAAGCTCACACCCTCTTACTCTGTATTTAGGTTTGGGGCCTTAGGGGGCAGCTGTTCATGAACAAACTGTTCAGTGGTCATTGCACTATGTGCGTGGGGAGCCTTTCCAAGTGTGTTAAGTCCACTGTGAAGGAGAAGTGAGGTGGGGGCAGTCAGCACCACCTGGCTCCTCAACTTACCAGGTTTTGAGGTCTACAAGGGCCCTGGGAGAACTCAGCTGTTTAAAAAATTCAGTGACTAGATGCTATGCAGAAAGACAAGACACTATGTATGAACAGAACTCAGGAGCTGTGGGACTGTGAGAAAAGGGTGAATGTTAGAGGAAACAGGGCAGGGCTGACCTCCAGATTCAAAATAGAGGGCTAAACCCAGAGAAATTCACATCAAGAAATATCCAAATAAGCACATTATCTAGGAGGAAAACATTAGAATGTCATGGAGGCCAGAAAGAAGAGATGTGATATCTTTTCAGCTGTTACATGAAAAAGTGCAACTGAGAAATCCTGTATTGGCAAATACATCCTTCAGGAATTAAGGTAAACCAAGAGTTTGTGCCAGCAAGCTCACCCTAACAGAATGACCAAAGGAAGGTCTTTAAACAGAAAGGAACCTTAGAACACCAGGAAGGAAGTTGGTAAGCAGATATATAGGTAAATATACAGCAGGCTTCCCCCTCCCCCACCCTTGAGTTTTCCAAAGCATGTTCAACACTTGAAGCAAATGCTATGACACCAATGTTCTAAATTTATGTGGAGGAAGTATGGGAGATAATGGTACATATCAGTAGATTGGTGCTAAGTTACTTACGTAAGTCTAAACTACTGGAAAAGCTCTGTATAAAGAAATATATTCAAAAACACTACGGATAGCATAACCCAACAGGAGTACAGAAAAAATGAAAACAGAAACGGCACACATTAGTTCTAAAAATATCAAGCTAATTACATTTAATGTAATCATTAAGTACATCAACTAAAAGAAAGGGATTATCAGGTAATCACCTCTCTCAACAATTGATGTCAAACAATTGATATGACAACTAGACAGAAGACCAGCAGGACACAGACTAATTGAACAATGCCATCAACCAGTAGGACTTACTTGATATTTGTAGAAAACTATCCAACAATAGGAAAATGCATATTATTTTCAAGTGCCCAGAAAAACAGATAAACCATATCTTGGGACTGTAAAACAAACTGTCACAAATTTCAAACTAAACCCATTGCTATACAGTTGATATCAACTCATAGCTTGGGCAGAAAAGAGTTTGTCCCAGAGGATCAATAAGTCTTGAGAGCTCCTGTAGAGTAGCTGGTGGGTTCACGCTGCCTGCACCGTGGTCAGCATCCACGTGCTTACACACTGCACCCCCAGAGTTCCCTTCCACTGAAGTCATAGAGTGTTCTCTGGGCACCATGGGCTCCGATTCAAATGTAACAACATAAGTTTAACAGGAAAATTGCCAAACACTTAGAAACTATACAACATGCTTCTAAATAATCCACAGGCCAGAAAGAAACATTAAAAAGATGAAAATACAATGTCAAAATTTACACATCACAGCAAACACAGTGCTAACAGAAGTCTAAATTTATCGGAAATTTTCAAAAATCAAGGTGGGAGGAACTCCAAGTCCTAAGAACCTAGAAAAGGAACCAAACACATAAAACAACAAGAAGGAAATCAAGAGACAGTCAGTGGGACAGAGGAGATTTCTATCATCAGCAGATGAAGAGCAAAGGTTGCAGCCTTCAGTATGGATTACAACTCAATGTGAAGAGAACCAAATCCTCACAAGCGGACCCACAGGTAACATCATGATAAACAGAAAAAAGATTGTGGGTCCAAAACTTCAACCAATGCTCATGGAAGCAGCAGTCGAGATAAAATGATGCTTTGTATTAGGTAAATCTGCTACACAGGACTTCATTGAAGTGTTGAAAAGCAAAGATGTTACTTTGAAGACCTAAGTACACCAGACCCAAGCCATGGTATTGAAACTTACCTCATGTGCACGTGAGAGTTTGACACCAAGTAAGGAAGACTGAAGAATCAATTCTGCCAAAATAACGAATAAATCCGTCCTGGAAAAAATATAGCTAGAATGCTTCTTAGAGACTAGGGTAGTGAAAGTTTGTCTCACCTACATTGGACATGTTATCGAGAAGGATAGCGTGCTTGGTAAAGTAAAGGGGACAAGGAAAAAGAGGAAGGTCTTCAACAACAGCGGCTACAACAATGGGCTCAAACATCAGAATGTTTTGAGGATGCTGTTGTGCTGGGCAGTTTTTCATTTTGTTGTGCATCTGGTCACTATGGGTAGGGTCTACGACTAGACCAAGTTCTTATATTGACAGCAAATGCATGATTTCCAAGGGGAAAGTGGGTAAGTAAGGTGTCATCATGATGAAGAAAAGACAGCTACAGTGACTAAAGGCTAGTATCCAGAACACACAAGGACTATGTAAAACACAAGATTTTTGTAGACAATCCCATTTGAACACGTCCAAAAGTCCTGAGACAAGTAGTGAACACCTGAGAATGATACTGACCTTCCGTTACCATAAAGAGACACCACCACACAGCTGTAGGAGTGGCTGAGCTGGATGTCAGAGGATGCAGCAACTTTGAAGAGAGCTGGGTAGTTTCTCTGAAGAACAGCCATGTACAGATATTTAAGGCGGATTTACTCCTAATCACCAAAGACTGATGATCACAGATGGCATTTGGTGTTTAAATGGTTGACCTTACAGTGGGAACAATCAAACCACTCGATGACACTCAAGTGACTTGGTTGAATGAAAAATGCGAGTGCCCCAAAATTAATTGTACAATTCCATTTTTATATACAGCATTCTTGAAGTGACAACACCAGAGAGCTGTGGAGAAGAAGGTGGGAGGGAAGTCAGATGACTAGCACAGCTTGAGGAACTTGGGTGATGAGATTGTCTGTTTCGCAAGATGTGGGAAATCTCAACAGATCTCTGCACAATTTCTTACCATAAGTTGCATGTGAGCTATTCACCTAGTCACCTGTCAGGGATGTGACAAGCCACACAACGGTAATGGTTCATACACGAGGGGGCTTCACAAAGTGAATGGAAAAATGTATTCCCTTTCACTCGTGTCTAAGTGCAATTCCAACTCCTCTATTTTATCAACACGCAGTAGGATGTCCACACTACAAGCATAAATGATCAGCCAGCGTGTGTCCGGACTAGTCCTGTGGAGCTACTTCTGAGTAGTGCTAGAGGAGAAGACCCAGTTTTAAATGGCTGTGGCCATTTGCTTTGGGCTCTGAACACAGTCAGTCAGGGAGAGTTTGACATAAGACTGTGAAAGAGACAGGATCTGGGACGAGCATGTCCAACGGCATGCGGTTCATAGTAATCACAGTGATTAAGAGGACAAGGCTGGCCCTGGAGGGAAGACTAAAAAAGAGGGGATGGGAAAGGGGTACGTGTTACTCGTCATCTGGGCATGGCCATGGTGGAGGTGTTGGTATTCTTAAGGCAGGCTGTGTGTTCTAGCCTCATGGCACCCAAGCAGACTGTGGTTTCTGTCTGGTCTCTAAGACGTAGGTAGCACAAGGGGGTTGGGGGCTGATCCAAGACCCACACTGAGCACATCCTGGCCACACACTTCATGACTTTATATATACGTTGAGTGGCACGTATGCCCAGCTTGCTGGGCTGCATCTCTAGCCCCTGCCCATCGAGTACCTCCTTCCTCACAGAGTTCTCTGAGTGGGTCAAGTTGCAAGGCCGAGCCATACTGTCTCTCCAGCTTCATGCCTGTGGCAACCACAGGGCAGGCGATTTTGGTGGCTGTGTGGTGTGTGCTGTCAACCAGGGAGTACTAGGGACTTAGACACCAGAGGAAGTGGCTGCACTGTGACATGCCACTCTCTGGCCCTTAGAGCAGCCACAGGGCTGTCCCCCTACCTTTATTTGGAATGTTTGGTGTGTTTTGGGGGAAGTTGAGCCATCTGGTCATGAACTTTTATGTCTGGGAAGGCGGAGTGGGTGTGTAGGAATTCCAAGTGATGGCACACATGCCCACCCTGGGATGTGTGGTGGTTTATGCATCTCACATGGCTATGATTGGCAGAAGGCTCACCCATATATTGGGGTAGCTTCAAAGCCAGTGAGGCTCTGACCCACCCCACCCCCAAGAGTGGCCTGTGACTGGGCAAGTGGTTTTCAGCACTTTCTCCCTTTTTGCCATGGCTGAGACTGCTAGTCACTGTAGTAACCGGGTGCTGAGTTGAAGTGTGGCCATTGTAAGTGACCGCTTTCTTCTTCGGATGCAGACAGACGACGAGGCGACGGCGGTGTAAATGAAGATCACGTGAGGGAGCAGAACGATGCCCAAGGGCGGGTGTTCTAAGACACCACAGCCAGAAGATTTTTCTCTCAGCAACGACATGGTGGAGAAACAAACCGGGAAAAAGGTGCGGCTTACGTTTATCTGGACCGGGATCTAGCCTACAAGCATGCGTCTAGAGGCCAGCACAGCTGCCTTCTGCTGGGGTGGGGAGTGTTAATATATAAAATAGAGAGTGGTTTGAGACACTAGGTGGTGATATGGAAGGTGCTCTCTGCCCTGGGGTTCCTCCCTGCACAGGACTCCTGCCACGTAACCAATAGAAAGGTGCAAGAGAAGGCCATGGGCCAAGATTTCAGTCCTGCCTTAGGTACATAGTGTACCCTTCTTGCCAGTGGTGGGATCTCTATGAGCTCCAATTAGTGCCACACAGGCCCAGTCTTGGTAACCACAAACCAGTCACTGTTAGGTCCCAGCCTTGGTTTTTCCGCCTGTGGGGCTGGAGAAAGAACACTCCAGTGAATTTGTGTGGTGGGCAGTGTGAGCGCTGCAACACTTCCTTGCTCTCACTCCCTTCCCCATCCCTGGCTATGCCCCTCTGGGGAGGCTTCTGTGTTCTCAGGCCCAGAGCTCAGGGCAATGGTGTTGGGGAGGTTCCCTCTTGCAGCTCCTGACCAGTGATCCTGGCTGCTGCTTCCTCCTGGGGCACCTCTCGTGGTTTGCGTCCTGGCATGGGGACTGTGAGAGTCTACAGACGAAATGAGCACATTTCTAACCCCAGCCCAGGTTGTCACAGTCGCTCTGGTATCACTGTGTGGGATGATGTAGTGAACCTGTGAAAACCAGGGGGTAGGAGAGAGCTGACCTGGAGGAGTATGCTTCCCCAGCGTGGAGCAGTTAGGGCAGCTGTGCCTGTGGCCGGTGCCCAGTCAACATGTAAAGGAGTTAGTTAAGTATGCATCCAGCACTGGACATGTTAACTGCTACACAGAAGGAGGTAGAGCTGGCCTGTGGTGGGCAGAGGAGACCCCTGGTCCTATGCTTCATACGGAGGCCCCATAAAGAGTGCCCCTTGTGTCTGCCATCCTCAGAAGAAGCTCAGACAACTGTCTTCACAGGGCCAGAACATCCTGCCCAGTAGGACTCAAACTGAGTCCCTGCTACTGCGCGCAACAGACTCTGAGGTGCCCCTCCACTTCTGTTTGTAAGTCACTAAGACACTGTGGGCCCGTGGTTTGTGGCTGACCCTGGGTTTCACGGAAAGGGTTCTAGCTTCTGTGATATGGGGCACTTCCTTCTGACAGCCCCAGCCTCAGAGTGTGCTTTTTTATACAAGCCATTATTTTGTGACTATGTGTTAAATGTGTGGGACTATGCAAATAGGGTCAGGAACCTTAGTAGCAGACGCCATTCTACTCTATCCATGGTTGCTCTATTGCCTTCAACGTTATTCAGGTGCTGGTAGGGACATTTGTGTCCTGCTCCAGAGCTGATCCTGGTATGTTCTTGGTCTCTGTGGCCCCGAAGGCATGTCTGTCTCGTTTTCTCAAGTGTCATAGCAAGGGTCCCATCTGCTTGGGGAGGCCACATATGACAACATATCCCTGCAGGACCTGTGGACACTGGGCATGCACTAGAGGTCCGACTTAGAGGCCTGAGCTTGCCCATCCAATGTTTAAGTCGGACCTCTAGTGCATGCCCAGTGTCCACAGGTCCTGCAGGGATATGTTGTCCTTCCAAGCAAGCCTTCATGGTGTAGTGGGTTCCACATTGGGTTGCTAACCACGAGGTCAGCTGTTCAGGCAAAAGAAAGAGGAAGCTTGTACTCGCATAAATAGTTACAGGGTCACCATGAGTTGAGAGTGGCTCAATGGCAGTGAGTTTGTTTTTTTGTTCTTGTTTCGTCCAAACACTGCCTGGAGTCCTGGTCGCCTGCTGTCTTGGACAGAGATGCTCTTGTGATCACTGGGCTGCTCATTCACACCAATGTCCATGGATTGGGACCTGTCCTGACCTCTGAGTGGCCAGAAGTGTCCTTGGCCTCAGAATATACTAGACACAAAAGCCAGGAGAAGGCTGGCTTTTAAATCATCTTCCTCCTGAAAATGACTTCATTTCCAAAATTTTACCTTAGTTTTAAACATTTCTAATGCAAAGTTTCACTGATACAAGCAGACACCTCATCCATCCTGTTTTATCTTGTTTTGGTGCACACCCCAGAGGGGTTTTTCTCCTGTAAATATCTTAGTGTCACACCAGCACAGTGCCATTGTCACAGCACAATTCCCACCAAGTCACCAGGATACGTTTTCCTGAGTTCAAGAATTCACCCAGGTTGGCCGTCCCCTGTGCCACAGTTTGGGAGGAGTCATAGGAGCTGCTCCCCACATAGGGTGGGGCTCGTGGGAACAGCACCCCTGGCCTTGTGTCTAAGGGCACACCCAGCTCGCTCATCCAAGCCGCGACAACCATTGTTACTTTCCTTGTGTGACCTGGCTAGATTGAGAAATGCATGGAGAACCAGATGAAGCGGAGACTTTTCAAGGCAGCATTGTTTTTGTATTTACCTCTTAGACCCTAGAAGGTTGTGTTGTTAGGTGGCCACCCATTGTTGTAGCCACTTTTGTCAGTCTACCTCATGGTTAGTCTGCCTCTTTTTTCAAGGACCCTCTACTTTTACCGAGCATGGTGTCTTTCATAGAAACTGGCCCCTCCTTGACATGTCCAAGGTTTGTTGCAAAGTTTGTTATCCTTACTTCCCAGGAGCATTTCAAAACAGCTTAGTTCATTCTCGTGAAGTCCATGGTATGTATATCCAATATTCTTCACCAAACTGTAGTTCAAAGACACCTAGAACTTGCTAGTCATTGTCAGTGTCCAGGTTTCTTGTGCATGTGTAACAATTCAGAGTACCAGATTAGATAGGGTTAAAGAGCAAAGGCTTATCTATGTCAATGTTCATTGAGTCCAGCACAATTCACCGGCCTGGCCTTGGCAAGGAAGGGCATGGTTGCTTCCAGAGACTGCTGTGAGGCCCACTTGACCTACTATTTTTCTCCTCGCTAACCATTTTTAAATTAAGTAGATTTGATCCTAAGTAAAGACTAATACATCTGACATCATCTTCTATCCTCCATTCAGAGAAACCTTTAATCATTCTTACTTTTCAACTTTTAAAATCTCTTACGGGAAAGAATAGGGCACCTGTCATCACACACTGACCAGCTATGCTGCGGGCATGGGCCTGGAAATGGAACATTCCAGCATCCTCGCAGGCTACCGCTGTCTCTCATGACTCCACCCTCTCTGAAAGACAAGCACTCTGATTGAGTGGTGTGTAGAGACCAGGGTTCTCTAGAGAGATAAAACCAAAATGGTGGTCCCTTTGTGGCTCTGCTCTAGTGCTACTGCACAGCCACGCAGAATGCGGCATGAACTTACTGTGTGTCTGGCCTCTTCTGCTTCTCCTCACAGGCTTTTGGACAGCTCCTTTCTGTTGCATTTGTGGTTAATCGGTTGGTTGCTGATGTTGTCTGAGCAAGAGCGACGCTTAGACTGAAGGATTCCCCCCCTTTATGTCTGGGGCAAGTGATGCTGACTCACTCTAGGCCCAAACAGGTTTTTCAGATCGAACATTTTTCCAGCTTGGCAAGCCTCGAGCAACTCACTCTGAGTTAGTGTATCCAGTGGCATCACCTGGGAAGGTTCTCTCCTTCATAAAAAACACTTAAGTGAAAGTTTCCCTGGAACTCTGTTTTTTTGTGATAGCCTATTTAAGAGAATAATGCTGCAGAAACTGTTGTGATGTTGAATATTGCTGACAAGGAAAGTGAGCGCTATGATAAAAACTCAAGTGTAAGAGTGGTTTTCTCATTTCAAAAAGGGTGAAATGTCAATTGATGACAAACCTCATTCTGGACACCGGTCAACTTCCCAAAATGTCAACCCACAGTGCTAGTGCATTTGGAGTTTATTCCACCAGGTCAGACTTACGCAATCTTTTCAGAACCTCTAAATAGGAAAGCTTGATTAACAGTGTGCAACCAAAAAAGCTTGATTTGTGGCAGACAGGGGGACTGGTGTTACCACCATGACAATGCATCTGCTCACAGAGGCATCTCAGTGCACCAGTTTTGACAAAAACAAACAAAAAACCCAACATGCTTCTCTTATCCCATGCACCTTACTTACCTGATCTTGAAAGGACAGCGATTTGATAATGTCTAAGAGGTGAAGAGAAAAACGAGGGAGGTGCTGTCAGCCATCCAAACCGATGAGTTTGAAAAATGTTTCCAAGAATGGAATGATAGATTTGACAAATGTATTAGTGTAGTGGGGATTTGTGTGTGTGTGTGTGTGTGTGTAGGGGGTGGTGGTGAGTGAGAGTGTTTTAACATGTATATATCCCCATTACCTTGCTGTATCAAGATAATAAACATTTCAATTACCCTTACTACTTTTCACTACTTTATCATTCATCTCTCACTTCCCATTGTAAGTTGGACGCCTATAAAAAGTCAAACCAGCATGTGCAGTAATAACAGCTGCCAAGACTCATGTCCATCTCCAGAGAGTGCAGTCCAGGGAACCCTCGCCACTTCCCACTCCGACTTCCGCGGCTTCACTCTATCGCGGTTTTTGCGTAACAGCGCATGCTCTGTCATTACTGCCACTGATTGGCTCATACTGTACACGCTTCTGTCTGC